GGGAAGGGGTGATTTGGGGGGGAGTGAAAACTGGAGCTGCGTTTCGCCCCCCCCTCCCCGCTCCCCCCCCGGCTCTGGGCGAGCCAGACACGGTTTGCCCAGTGCAGAGAGAGGGGCTCCGTGTTCCGCCTCCGTGGAGTATTTGGGATTGGAGAGAGACACACACACACACACGCGCACACACACACACGCACACAGAGACCATCTGCAGTGTCAATGCGGCGCCTGCTCTGAAGACTGAAGTGGGGGGAAAGGAGAGGAGAGGAAAATAATTTTTTTTATATTTATATCTATACCAAAACCCACCCAAAGCGAGCGAGGAGCATTCCCAGGTAAGGAGCCCCCYGCCCCGCCCGGGCAGCGGGGGCTGCGGGAGGATGCCCCGGAGGATGCCCCGGGAGGGCTGGCGGGGCTGCAGCGGTACCTGCCCTGCACACCTGGCGGAGGTGGAGGGGGGGACCCTGGGAGGCGCCCCCGCCGCTGCTCCCCACCCCCGGGTCCTGGGATGRGGGTCGGGGATGGAGGGCAGGGACCCTCGCGGACAGCGGGATGAGCCGGGGGGCTCGGGCACGGCCCCTCCGCCCCTCCCGGCCCGGTTTGGGAGGATGCTAGGCGGGGGGCAAGCAGCGGGGAGCCCCCTTTCTGCACATCCCCAGCGCGGAGGGGACGCGGTGCCCGCTGTCCCCCTTTGCCGGGTCCCCGATGGCTTTTTCCCCATGCACAAGGCTCAACTTTTCTCCCCGGAGGTAGCGGCTCCAGCAGCGCAGCCCGTCCCTCATCACCCCCGGCATCCCCCGGCTGCGGATTTGCCTCCCCTCGGGGGGTATTTTCCCCCTTCGATGCTCCAGAGCTTCCTCGGGCGAGGGGCTGGAGGCATTTGCAAACTTTTCCTGCTCCCGGTGAGGTTGCAGCTGGACGGGGCTGGAGGCAGAGCCCTATTCCCGGGGAGGATAACACTCCCGGGTGACCGGTGGATGGGGACAGGGGCCACCCCRGGTGGTGAACACCTCAGAGGGAAGGGCAGACTCCCGTCTCTTCCCTTCCCGCAAGGTGCTGGAGAGTTTCCCTGCCCAAATCCCGGCTGCGGAGTCAGCGCTGCTGAAGCTCCCTCCTTTCCCTCGGTGCATGTGTGTGTGCTGCAACCGAAACCTGCGTATTGATGCTCTGCGTTTATCAGACATATGCCCTTAAATTATGTAGAACGGCGAGAAGTGATCTAAACACCGAGCCGCACATTGTTTTGCTGGAAACCTAATACTCCGGCAGCAGATGAGTTCCTCCCAGATAAACAAACCCACTTGCTCAGCCCCGGCAGGGCTGAGTGCTGTTTGGGTTTGTAGCGGCTGCATGTGGCTGCTCCATCCCCAGCCCGGAGGAAATCCTCCTCCCGGGGCTCCATCTGCTCCCCGTGCCGGGAAGGGATGCGGTGTTTGCGGTGCTGGAGGCGGGGGTAGGACCCTCAGGASTCGCCGCGGTGGGAAGGCGAGTGGCTCTGCACCTCTCCCGTAAAACTTCCACACCCCGCGCCKGTTCCGCGTTGCTTCCCAGCCCCGCCGCCGGGCAGCCGTGCCGGGGAGCTCGCTGGAAACGCACCTGATTGTCCATGGCTTCCCTCCGCTGCCGGGATGCGACGCCGGGGATGAGAGATTTTGGGGAAAGCCAGGAGGGTCTGGTGCTTCCCAAGGCGTGGGGGTGAGTGGTGCAGAGGGGRGGTTTGGACCGAGCCCCCGAGGCTGCCGGGGGATGCTCTCATTCCGCGGGAACAATGATGGTGCCAGGGGATTTTTACAGCCGATGCAAGCGCTCACCGCCTTCTAGGGACTTATCTCGAGCGTGAGCCAGTCCTGCGTAAATATTTAGGAAGGCGCAAAGCGTGCTAACTTATTTTCTTTCTCTGCCCTCTGTTTCACCCKGGTCTTGTTTGTAGAAGCCGGTGAAATCCGTGAGCGGGCAGGACCAGCGGGGCACGGGGGGCACGGGCTTTGCCGTCTCTGCGATCTTAATTACGGCGTGTGCCTCCCAGGGTGGGATTAGGCKATTCCTCCCCCCGCCTAAGCCACTGGCTGGAGGTCCAGGGGCTGCGAGCAGSGTTTTGTTTGTGCTTTATTTGCTGGGGGAAGTACGTGTTGGTTGGTTGGTTTGTTTGTTTGTTTGTGTGCGGGATCCTTCGCCAGAGCCGGGCTCCGAGCGGTGCAACAGATGTGTGTGCCTGCTCGGCGTGTGCAGCCAGGTTTGAACACGCAGCCACAGCCCCGGCACGAAAACCTGGGATTTTCTCCCCTCCCCTGCCCAGACCCACCCTCCACGGGGGTGTCTCCTCCCCGAAAGGACCAGTCCAAGGCTCGTTCTCCCCGTCCCATCTCAAACGTGTGGCGCTCGGCGGTATCGATACGGWGCGAAATGAATGACAGCCGCATGATCTAAGCGTTGTTTATGTCCAAGACGGGTGTTTTAGAATCCGGGCTGATGATCAATCACGCTGCTGTTGGGGAAGCATTTGCTTGATGATCGTAAGTGCCTWGCAGGCACTGCGGGCTGGCGTTAAACGCGCTCAGCGGCGCCGGGCTAGCGAGGGATGCTGCAAACCCAAAGGGAGGTGCTGAACTTCTCCGCAGGGAGAGCGAATGTTGGAGCCTTTGCTCGCGGATTCACCTGCCAGCATCCCTCCCTGCGGCGCAGCCAGCCTGGGCTCGGCAGCCTGGGGATGTGGCAAAGCCAAGAGCTGAGCTGAGCCGCGCTGCCGGCAAGGCAGGAGCCGTCTCTGGCAGCCCCATCCCGGGGGGCACTGGGTTGCCGGAGCCGGTTTCGTGTCGATTCCTCTACTTTGGCAGGCTGAGGAGGGGGAGGAGGGACGCCGGCGCCCCTTTTGTGCTGCATCCTTTTCCTTTTACTGAATCGCTTTGTCTCTGCCTCCCCATGTCCTCGACGTTGGGCGGTTGCAGTAAAACCCAGCTCCCTCTCKCAGCGCCGGGGTTGGATTCGTGCGAGAGCCTGGCAAGGGCTGACGATACCCGGGGTGTGCTGAGGGTTAACACCGTGTGGGAATTGATTTCTTGTTTGGAAGGGGACTCTGAGAAGCTCCCTGCAAAGCTGAGAAGGATGCTGGCACTGTAGGATCGTGCTTCACATTGGGATCCATCCTGGGGAGGGTGTCAGGGGTAGGGCTGCTGAGTTTTGGAGTTAGCGGTGCCAGAGTTTGGGGCTTGGCACTGCCTACATGTATCACGGTGTCCTAGGCTGGCTCCTCTGGATTTAGCATTCACAAAACCCTTTTAAAGTGGGGTCCCAYGTAGCTGAGACCCCAAAGTCTCCTSTCCTGCCCRTGAATCCCCCTCCCCATCCAGRGATGTGTTTTGGATTGTGACTGTCCCGCCCCAGTAAAGCCCTCAAACTGCTTGATGCTCTAACAAAAAGCATCTGAGGAACCTTTCTGGCTCTCTGAAAGGCTTCAGAGGGCTCTTTCTTACTCCTCCCTTCCGGCTCGCAAGACTCAGCGAAGGGACAGCACCGCTCCAGGCGCCCAAGGCAACGAGACTTCCCGTCTGTGCAGAGAGTCTGGGCATCCCACTGCCTTTCTGCAGGGCATCAGTGATGAGCGTGCTTCCCTGCGTGACTGTCTTCTGTGAAAAGTGCTTTATATCCCTCGGCTTTGAGCTCTCAAGGAGCCTGTGACAAAAAAAGAAAAAGGAAAAAAAAAGGAAAAAGAGAAAAAAAATTACATAGCGCTGCCCACATGTTTTTCASTCAGGCTCTGAAGGGTTTTGAAACGTAAGAATTTGTTCCATTGGTGTGGTGTAGATTGGGAAACTGAGGCATGGAGAGGGGAAAGGCTCAGTCCACATTTATTGATGGGGGTTCTCCTTCACCAGCATGAAATGCAAACTGAGCCCCAAGAGGGACTCGGTGATGAGAGCAGTGAGGGGTGCCCTGGCCTCCAGTCTGTGCTTCAACAGCCAAGAGCAGCCCTTGGACATTTTCAGCACTGAATTTTTCCCAGTTTAAATGACAAATGGGTTCCTTTGAAATGAGAAAATCATAGAATTACAGAAGAGTTTGGGTTGGAGAGGCCCTTAAAGCTCATCGAGTTCCAACCCCTTGCCATGGGCAGGGACAACCAAACATTTTGGGTTTGTGAGGTCCTGGGGCAGCCGTGCTCTCATGGACCACAGTCCCAGTGCCTTTAAAATTTGCTGCAAAATGCTTTTAATCACCTTTGGGAACGGTGAGATCATTGCAAYGATGACGTGTTGAGATCCCTACAGCCTGTGTGGTGGTTTTCTGGAACTGGCATCCTTCCTTAGGGCTTTTTTTGACTCATCCCAAGGAACTGTCTGGGATTTTTTTGTTCTTTGTTGGAGCATGAGCTTTGCCTCATCCTCGAGTGGTTGCACTTYGTAAGGGGCTGAGCAGCCACCCCTACCACAGGACCCAGTGTCTTGTGACCTCTGCCTTGAACCCTTTCCTTGGTAAAAAGTCCCTCTGTGAGYCCTCAGAGATGCTCTGAGGTCTTTGAACAGGAACTTTTTAGTTTGAAAACCCAAAACCCCAACAGCCACTTCATTTTAGACACCTGTAGCCCTCCAGCTCCAGCTGATGTCAACCTTGCCAAGGTCAGCTGCTTTCCAAGGTGATTCCTGGAGCCATGGAAGAAGCCAAATTTTTGCTGAAATATGATGTTCCCAGCTGTTCCTACCTCAAATCCTAATGTTTGTAGAAAACACTGATTTCTCAGAGCCTGGAGACCCGAGGGAGAGCAGTGACCAGGTAGAATCCCCATCCCACTGTGCTGCCTTTCAGCAGGTGGCTTTGACCTCCTCTGGACAGGAACCACCCCTGGACAGAAGTCATTTGCAGACTTTGTGACTTGCTTTTACTCCAGGCTTTGTTGCTGAGAGGGTTTTCCCCCCTAAAAAGGGTTTTTGAAATACTTCATGCAGGGAAACAGAAATCCAATCCCCAAAAGTCAAGTGGCTGAGATTGCCAGGCTTCTTTTGATTAGGGAAAAAGTCCCACTGAGCAAGCCTGGATTTGTACTTGTGACCTGAAAGGGAGACTTTCGTGCCTGATCTGAGTTTCCTTCCAGCTAAATCATCCATACACTGATCTGCTGGGGCTTTCCCACCCAGCCACTGGCAATAAATTGATGGGGTTTGACTGGCACTTGAATTTGTTATGTCCTTTTGACAGGACGAATGTGTGGCTCTAATGCAGGTAATAGGGGCCAGGTTTCCACTASAGGCATTTGCATGATCTATACCCACACACTTCCCCCTCCTCTGCTCTCCTGCAAGGGCCAGAGGGATAAATCTTAATCCTGGGTGAACCCTCGCAG